CTCATCGATCCTCATAAGAAGCCTATGAGAAATACTATTATTCAGCTCATTTTATACCTGCAAAAACTGAAGACAGAATTAAATTGTACCGAAGGTTAACAAAGCTTTTAAGTGGGTGGGAACACTTAAACCTAGGCAGACTCCAGAACCCATGTTCTCAACCAATATGCAATACTATCTCTGCAGAGATTGGAAACCCAAGAAAATCAGCTGAAAAATCATTAGAAATGGTAACAGCATTTCAGGATGCAAATGTAAATATTAATATATAAAAATAATAATGTAAAAATATTTAAAAATAATATACAGTATTACACACACACACACACACACACACACACACACACACACACATTGCTTCACCTTATCAGACAATGACCAAATTAATTAATGGGGTAAAAGAGCCCCATGAAAATGGGGTAAAAGACCTGGCAATAAATTTTTTAAATAGGCAGAATATACACACATAAAATTCTACTGAAAGATATTTAAAAAGTCTTTGGTACGTAGAGAAACATAACACTTTCCCAGCTGAAAAGCCTCACTAATGAAAGAGGATAGAGATCTCTTTCTCCAGAATTAATCTGTACATTTAACATAAAGTCAGTTCAATTTACTTTAAGAGGGAGTGGCCCAGTTCAACAAACGGGCACTTGATAAAAATTGGTGCAACCTTTGGAAGGAAAGTTGAACCAGTATCTATAAAAATTTTATATGTGCATTCCCCTTGACATAGAAATTCGTTCTAGGAATCTATCCCACAGAAATACCAACACTTGCTACCAAAGATGGACAAAGAATGTTCATGGCAGTTTTATTTGCAATAGTAAGAAAAAGATAAAGAGGAGAAAGGGAGGAGGGACAGGGGAGGGGGGAGGAGAAAAGGAGAGGAAGGAAGGAGGAACTGCAGGGAAAGAAAATGCCCAGCAACAGGAAACATTTTTACATAATTATACAAAGGGACCATAGGAGCCATTAAAAAGGAAGCGAAAGCTTTAAATATACTAACATTTAAAAAGTCTTAGCTAGGTCTCTGCTAGGGACTGAATGCATTCCCCCCAAATTCATGTATTAAAAAGCTAATCCTCGGGGCACCTGGGTGGCTCAGTGGGTTAAGCCTCTGCCTTAGGCTCAGGTCATGATCTCAGGGTCCTGGGATGGAGCCCCGCATCGGGCTCTCTGCTCAGCAGGGAGCCTGTTTCCCCCTCTTTCTCTGCCTGCCTCTCTGCCTGCTTGTGATCTCTCTCTCTCTCTCTGTCATATAAATAAATAAATAAATTTAAAAAGAAAATGCTAATCCTCAATGTGATGATATGTGGATATGGGGTCTTTGGGAAGTAATTAGGTCTTGGTGGTGGAACTCTCATGTTGGGATTAGTGCCCTTATAAGAAGAGGTGGGAGAGCACTGGCTTGCTCTCTCTGCTCTCTGCCAGTGAGAATACAGTGAGAAGGTAGCATCCTTACACCGGGAAGAGGGCCCTCAGCAGGGCACCCTGATCTCAGACTTTCAGCCTCCAGAAAGAAATGTTTTGCTGTTTCCACCACCCTATCTATGGTAACTTGTTACAATTTGAGCAGATTTTGAGTGTCTAAAGGAAAAATAAGGCAAACTATGTCAATGCAATTGCAAAAAAAATGTATAGGGTATGGTCATTCTATTTTTAATATGGAGCATAATTCAGTGAAAGAGAGATGAAGGTGTGGAGGAATGGAAGCTTCCTGTTTTGCTTTCAACATGCCCCCCCCTTAAAAGATTTTTATTTATTATTTGACAGATAGAGATCACAAGTAGGCAGAGAGGCAGGCAGAGAGAGAGGGGGGTGGGAAGCAGGCTCCCCACTGAACAGAGAGCCCGATGCAGGGCTCGATCCCAGGCCCCTGAGATCATGACCTGAGCTGAAGGTGGAGGCTTAACCTACTGAGCCACCCAGACACCCCTCAACACTTCTTTGTTTTTTTTAAAGATTTTATTTATTTCAGAGAGAGAGCATGCGCACAAGCATGAGGAGGGGGAGGGGGAAGGGCAGAAGGAGAAGCAGACTTCCTGCTCAGTAAGGAGCCCAACATGGGGCTCTATCCCAGGACCTTGAGATCATGACCTGAGCCAAGGCAGATGCTTAATTGACAGACTGACTGAGCCACCCAGGCTCCCCTTTCAACACTTTTGTAAAGAGTTATGTATTACTTTTATGATAATTATTAAATGTTCATTGAACAAATATTGAGTCTTGTGCCGGGCACTGGGTTAGTGACATGACATTCAGGGCCCCTATACTCTGAGGAACCCTTGTTATCAAAATCCGACAGAAATCCGAACAAGATTTTGTCTGTTTCTTTTGGTGGAACAGGGAGGGAGAGGTTAGTTAAATTGACCAAAGTATTCTAAAGATTTTCTGGGATTAATACTAATAAAAACTGCTAGGAAATGCTCGCTTTGCTGGCATATACACTAAAATTGGGAGGATGTATCAAAAATTAGCATGGCTCCTGGGCAATGATGACATCAATTTTATGTAGCACTTCATAATTTTTTATTGTGATGGTGGTTACATTTGATAAAATTCATGAAAATATACATTGAAATGTGTTTTACTAAATGCAAACTATACTTCAATAAAACTGATTTTTCTAAGAGCTGGGAAAATGATAATACAGAGTAGTAAGAGAGAATCTGCCTAACCAGATTTTAAATCTACCATAAAACTTCAGTAATTAAAATAACATGGCACCAGCACCAAAATATGCTGATAAATAGAAGCGAAAATCCACATAGATATCAAACATGTAATAACTCAATCTACCGTAATGAAGCAATTTAAATCCGGGGTGAAAAACAGACTTAATAGTTTTGTGGCAACTGGTTAACTCTTCAGGAAAAGTAAATTAGCTCTCCACTTTATAACTTTAGAATAAATTTCACATTAAAACTTTCAAACAAAAGCTTAAAGGTACCTGAAGAAAATACAGAAGATTATTTATATATTTTAGGAAAGGCCCATAGGTTTAGGAAAGCCCCTGCTCAACAAGGTCTGCAAGCAGAAACCATTAAAAGAAAAAAAAAAGTGCTATAGTGAGCGCTGTAAACTGTGTAAGACTGATGAATCACAGACCTGTACCCCTGAAACAAATAATACATTATATGTTAATTCAAAAAATGACTAAATGGGGCGCCTGGGTGGCTCAGTGGGTTAAAGCCTCTGTCTTAGGCTCCGGTCATGATCCCAGGATCCTGGGATGGAGTCCCGCATCCGGCTCTCTGCTCAGCAGGGAGCCTGCTTCCCCCTCTCTCTCTGCCTACCTGTGATCTCTGTCAAATAAATAAATAAAATCTTTTTTAAAAAATGACTAAATGAAAAAGTTAAATTTGTGTATGGTCAAAGATGAAAAACTGATAAAACCATCAAGCAGAGTGGGAAAGACTATGCAACATAAATGACAGAATTATTTCTTTAATGCATAATATATAAGGAGTGCTCAAAAAATGAGAAACAGAAAGACACTCCAATTGAAAAGGGGGCAAAAGAGGGGCGCCTGGCTGGCTCAGACGGTGGAGTGTGCAACGGGTGATCTTAGGGTTGCGAGAGCCCCACGTTGGGCACAGAAATTCCTTTTAAAGGGGTGGTGGGGCCAAAGAAATAAGACAGCTCACCCCTGCAAATGCAAAAAGCCAGTACACAGAGGAAAAGCTATCGGTGGGCCCTGCGCAATCAGACGTGCAAATTAAAACAAGATACTATTTTTGTCCACCTTATTGATTTAGATGTTTGTATGCAGAGAAAGCTTCAAGACGATATCCAGAAAATCTCAACAAACTAGATGAAGTTTTAAGTTATCTTTATTTTCTCCTTTACATTTTTCTGTTTCCTAAATGCTCTGTAATACACTAATCCTTCAAAAAATTCCAGTAATTTTAATAATGCTAGGTGTTAGACACCCATAGTTTTCTCTTGTCACCTCCCAAAGTACCTGATAGAAATGCACGCCTAAAAAATCTATCCCCCTTACCAGGTTCTGTTCTCTTGGGGAAATACACGTGCGCACGGGCACACACATCTGCAGGTTCTGCTAATGGGCCGCTCAGTGAGATCATCATTGGAGCGGCCCTGCGCTTCTCCCGGGGGCAGCACGGGACCAGCAAGGGATGCCAGGGTCACACCCGCCCTTGCAGGAGCTCTCACCCCTGGGCACTTCGGGCGCAGTGCGGCACCGGCAACGCCCGCGCCCAGAGGCCAGGAAGAGGATATGACTAGCGGGGGTGGTCCTCTCCACTCCTCCAGGAAAGAGAACGGGAGCGGAAGACCACAGTCCCGGATCTAGCGTCTGCCGCTGACCTTGGGCAGTCGCCATCGGCTCGGGCCTCAGTTTCCCGGCCCGTAGGTCGGTGCTAACGGTTTCGATCGCCGCGCTGGCTCCCTTCGGCTGGTCTTTCCGGGAGCTGGGAAGGACGCCTTCCTCTGCCGGATCGCCCTTTCTCGGTTCCCGGGCGGCGAGGTCGCCCGCAGAAACCCCACGCCGCAGCAGCGCTTTGGCGAGCCCGACTGGCTCGAGGGGAGAACGCGCGAGGGGCCCTCGCAGCGTGCCGGCGGCCATTAGGCGATGCGATGCGCCCTTTGGCTGTGCTGCCCGGCGGGGCTGGCCGGGAGCAGGGTCTTACCTGGGCTCGCACGCGCCCGGCTCGCGCCTTCCTGTCGGCCTCGCGGCGCAGCCCAAGCGAGCGAAGGGTGCAGAGACACCCTCGCCGCGACACTCATTCATCCCTGCCGTGACACCGGCCCTGGTCGCGCGGGGGATGCCTTTCAAGGGTCCCCGCGGTCCTCCGGCAGGAAGCGGCCGGCGCCCCGGGCCGGGCCTCAGCGAAGCTCGCCTGGCCGGAGCGCACGGCCGGGGGCGCAGGCCCTCCGGAGCGGCGCCAGCACCCGCCGCGGCTCTTCCCGCGCCAGCGGCAGCTCGGGCCGCGACGCCCAAGGGGCTGGGCAGATTGCACGCAGGGAAAACCTACCCGGTGGGGGCGGTCAGCTGGTGCGCCGAGGGCCGCCTCTGGTGTCGCTTAGGCGGGTGGGCTCATCGCCACTGAGGAACCATCTCCCAACCCGAAGGCCCAGGCGGAGAGGGCGCAGCGCGGTTCGGGTGCGCGCCGGAGCCTCACCTCCTCCCGCGGCGCAGCTCCCGCGCCGGGTCCCCTCGCTCCGGCAGGCCATGTGACCTGCGAGCTGCGGAGCGACCGCAGCCCCCAAAACCAGCTTGAGGGGGAAAAAAAAAAAAAAAAAGAGGGATGGCTAAAGAGGCGCCAACTGATGGGCAGAAAGGGAAAAGCAGGCTCAGGGCTAAGGAAATTGAGATGCTGGAAGGATGAGGTCTCTGCGCTTTTCAGAGCCCCAGCCAGCCTGCAAGCGTGTTCTCCGCGGGAGGGAATTGGTTTTGCCCATAATAAAAATAATAGCCGACACCACCTCCGTCCCAAATCCCTACGGCACTCAGCCTTATACCAGGCGCCTTATGAACGTTCCTCTAGATCTCAGTTCACTCCTGGACATTACAGATGATCATCCCCAATTTGCAAACGGTGAAAGATTTGAGAAGATGATGGCCAAGTGCAAACCCTTCCTTATTACAAAAGCCGGAAATGTAAACATGTATTCAAAAAATCAGAATGGGGGACGCCTGGGTGGCTCAGTTGGTTAAGCGGCTGCCTTCAGCTCAGGTCATGATCCTGGTGTCCCGAATCGAGTCCCATATCGGGCTCCATGCTCAGCGGGGAGCCTGCTTCTCCCTCTGCCTCTGCCTCTGCCTGCGACTCTGTCTGCCTGTGCTCGCTCTCTCTCTCTCTCTCTCTCTCTCTCTCTGACAAATAAATAAAAATAAATTAAAAAAAAATCAGAATGGTTTGGTTTAACTAGGTCACATAGCCAGGCATGGGATTTAGGTCTGTGACCCTTTCCCCTTACCTGTCAGTCTCCTGGGAGTGGCTTCTGTGCTTCAGGACCCATTTCCAACCCTTCATTTCGGCAGATGTTTATCGACGAATTGTTCTGACGTCGTGCCAACACCATAGATGATGAGAATAAGGTAAGAATGAGACCGCCTACTTCCAGACTTCTTGTACATGAGGTTAAAAATTTTGCACAGAGCCTCTAGAAGAGAGAGCCGAGCAAACGGAGAAGAGACTCAGGAAAGAAATGAATGAAAAGTGGCTCTCATTACTGGAAGGGCTTTCATGCATTGAGAGAGGTCATTTCTGAGCTTTTTCTCTCAGAAATCATTTCGTTAAGGGGCCACAGAGGTTTAATAAGAGATCCAAAAATAACTAGGTGAGAGCTGAAGGAGATAACTTAGTGCTCATTGTCAAAGTGCCGAGTATACCCTAAGTATATAACAAATGCTCATTTAAGTGACAATGTGATCTGTCATACACTGCAACCTTTATTTTAGTCACATATCATGAAGGAAACTACCTAAAATCTAGGCACTTCTGAAAAGAGCAGTGAGGTCTCCACATGAGAAGTCTCAGTCTCCACATGATAACTGCAGAATATTTTTTTCCCTTCAGATAGGTTGTCACTACTCGTTCCCTCATAGGTATGTACATCTGTACATCTGTTTCTGCCTTCACGGGTGCCCCAAGTCAGGCAAGCAGGAAGCATGTTCCTTTTGTGAGAAGAATGGAAGCCAGCATGATATTCATCATGGGGGCACATAGAGATTTATTCTATTAATGAAATGACGTTTCTCAGTGCACGAAAGCCGTTCATTAGAAAGCCATTCCTTTGGGTCTCGAATGTTCTTTGGTCTTCCAGAATCCTATTTTAAGCAAATATTGTTCTGAAGAATATAACATTGGAGGTATGAAGAAATGGGCACACTGATTGAAAACAAGTACTGAGGAGCCCAGGAAAGCAAAGTGGAATAACCCTGGGGAGGAGAAAGGAAAGCCAAAGGAAAATGAAAGCCAGCTAGATTCCACTCTGGCTTCCTAGGGTTTCCACCTCATGGCTTATTGCCTTTCTTAGCACTTCTAATTCTAGGTCAGCTTGCCTTTCTAGGCTGGGGGTTAGCAAATTAAAGCTCACTGCCATTTTTTTGTGCAGCTCGCAAACTAAGAATAGCTTTTTGTTTTTCTTTTTTTTAAAGATTTTGTTTTATTTGACAGAGAGAGTACAAGCAGGGGAAGTGGCAGGCAGAGGGAGAGGGAGAAACAGCCTCCTGGAGGAGCAGGGAGCCTGATGTGGGGCTCGATCCCATGACCCTGAGATCATAACCTGAGTCAAAGGTAGTCAGTTAACCAAGTGAGCCACCCAGGAGCCTCAAGAATGGTTTTTATAATACTGGATGGTTAAAAAATAAAAAGAAGAATATTTTGGTACATGTGAAAATTATATGAAATTCAAATTTCAGTGTTATTGGTGCATAGTCATTCATTTACTTTTGTCTATGGCTATCGTGAGTTGAATAGTTGTGACAGAGACCTTATGACTCACAAAGCCTCAGATATTTACTGTCTGGTTTGCAGACACCTACTCTAAAAGGTCTGTTCAGTGGCCCACCACATAAGGCAGTAAAGCCAATAAACGCTTATGTAATTTTTCTTACGTCAGCACAGTTGGTACTAGATATTAAGTTCCATTAGAATCTTACACCCATCCACCAGGCCATCGGTCTGTCCTCTATCTTACAACCAATATTGACTGAAGAATTGTTCTGACATAGTGCCAACACCATGGATGAGAATGAGATAAGAATTAGATGTGTGTCCTGCTCTCAAGGAGTGTGTCTTTAGGAATGTCTGAAAGTATGGAAAGACTGCCTCAGGTGACAGCTGGATCTGGCACAGAGCTTGGGAAGCCAGTCCCATTTCCTAGACCAGTCCCAGACTTCTTTCCTCCAGACTTCTTCTACCTGAGACGTTTAAAGAAAAGGTATTATCAGTGTGATGTTGGCTCTTTAAAATTGTATGTGATTAAACTTCATCCAGTGGGAAGAGAGGTACACAATGATTTGAGGTTGTTTCATATTCCATTTGTAAAATCATATGGGACATCTCTAATTTCCATGTTGGGTAATAGTTTTAAGGGTATTTATTATTATTTTATATGATTGTCATTATGCATAGGTCATAATAACTGCATTTTTCTAACACAAGAGGAATAGGAGGCCAGTTTTTCAGATTAAAGCCCAAAGTTGAACCATTATCAAGATATTTTATGAGAGGGACACCTGGGTGGCTCAGTGGGTTAAGACACTGCCTTCAGCTCAGATCATGATTCCAGGTCCTGGGATCGAGTCCCCCATCGGGCTCCTTGCTTGGCAGGGAGCCTGCTTCTCTCTCCACCTCTGCCTGCCACTCTGCCTGCTTGTGTGCTTGCTGTCTCTCTCTCTCTCCGACAAATAAATAAATAAAATATTTTTAAAAAGATATTTTATGAGACATAATAAATTGAGGGATTCATGAGAGAGGTAGGAGGAATGGTAACCTAGGAAAAACTGGGAAAATTATTGGAAAGACAAGATTTAAAGATTCTGGTTCTCATTTGATAAGCCCCCTTCTTTGTTCCACATTAGCTACCTTCCCTCCCTTGTGGTAGGGAGGGTGTTTTCTCTCTCTCTCTCTCTTTTTTTTTTCCCTCATTTTATAAAATTGGACTTTGGGATCACAGAGAGAGAGTACTCATAATTTTCATTACATGGCTATGTAAGAACTTCTATTAAAAATAATAATAATATAAGGAATGCCCTTGAAATCACCACCCAGCATGGAGGGGTACCTGGGTGGCTCAGTTGGTTAAGTGGCTGACTCTTAACTTCAGCTCAGGTCATGATCTCAGGATCATGAGATCAAGCCCTGCATCAGGCTCCAAGCTGGGTGTGGAGCCTGCTTGAGATTCTCCCTCTCCCTCTCCTTTTGCCCCTCCCACTTACTCTCTCTCTCTCTGTCTCTCTCTCTCTCTGTCTCTCTCATAAATAAATAAATAAAATCTAAAAAAAAAAAAAAAAAAAAGAAAAGAAAAAGAAAAAGAAATCACTACCTAACACGGAAACCAGAAATCTGACAACAGCTTCCATCTGCCTATATGATCCTTACTTGTTCATCCTCTTGCATATGAAAGAAAAAATTATTCAATGGCACTTATTGAAGATGGTAAAGCATCAAAGGGGTCCATGATGGTAGGTGTAGGGACCCCTGAAATGGGGTCTTGCAGAAGGGAATTAGACTCAACTCCAAAGATAGTGTGAGCAAGTGGGACTGTAGAGACAAGGAACAGGATAGGGATTGTTGTAAAGCAAATCACTAAGGGGAAGGAAACATCAGGTGTAAAGGGTGATTCTGGCTAAAGGTACTGCGTAGGATTCTTGCTGAAGATCAGCCACAATGATCAGATATCCAGGGTGAGGTTTCTTGCTAAACTGATTTAGCTGGGTTCGGGCTGATACTGTTTACAAGGAAGTATAAAGAAGGGCCTAAGAGAAGATTCAGGAGCCTGACTAAAGTTTCGTCAAGCAAAGAATCTTTGTGAGTTGTGAAGAAAAACTTTTTTTTTAAAGATTTATTTAATTTTTTATTAGAGAGAGAGAGAGCAGAGCAAGTGAGAGAGAACACGAGTGGGGAGGAGAGGGAGAAGCAGCCTCTTTGCTGAGCAAGGAGCCCCATGTGGGGCTGGATCCCAGGACTGCAGGATCATGACCTGAGCCAAAGGCAGACGCTTAACTGACTGAGCCACCCAGGCGCCCCCCCTGAGGAAAAGCTTTATTGAAATTGTTAGTTTACCAAAACACCATAAATATTTTATTAAAGATATACTGCAGGCTGTCCCAGGACATGCCTGCAACTTACCTGAACACTCTTGGTTTCCTTCTTCATCCACCATGAGAAGGCTCTCCAGCTGCTCACCGCCCTCAACATTGGAAATGGTGTCATGGTAACCTCTAACCCTCCCCTAATGCTGAGATGCTTTCCATTTCACAAAAGAGATAAAAAACCCAAAGCAGAGAACTTCTGGGGCTAAGTCCCAAATTAGACATTCTAAACTATTTTTATTGCAGTAAAACTTGGATTAGCCAAAATACTAACATTGTGCATCTCTGAATAGTCAGACACCTCACTCTGCTCACCTGACTTTGACAGCAGAGACATCCTCTCTCCCCTGTTAAG